CGTCGTCAGTCGTCGTCCGTCGCCGTCGTCGTCATCGTCGTCGTCGTCGTCGTCGTCGTCGTCGTCGTCGTCGTCGTCGTCGTCGTCGTCGTCGTCCTCGTCGTCGTCGTCGTCGTCGTCGTCGTCGTCGTCGTCGTCGTCGTGTCGTCGTCGTCGTCGTCGTCGTCGTCGTCGTCGTCGTCGCTCGCGTCATCGTCGTCGTCGTCGTCCTCGTCGCTCGCGTCGTCGTCGTCATCGCCGTCGTCGTCGTCGTCGTGGTCGTTGTCGTCGTCGCTCTCGTCGTCGTCGTCGTCGTCGACGTATTCGTTTTCGTCGTCGTTTTCGTCTTCCTCGTCGTCGTTCATTTCCACAGGCACCCGGAGCGCCCCGGATCGGCGGCACTGGCCGGAGGCCACTACAATACGGCTCCCGCTTCCCGACAGCATGGCCGAGCTCTTGCCACAGCGTTCTGCCGCATGGGCGGCGTCTCCACAAGGCGGGTAGCGGCGGTGATTCGCCGCAGGCGTCTTCGATGCAGGCGGAATGAAGCAACGCAGTGTAACCACACAGCAGTTCCACGCATAAGCACCTGCTCCCCGAGGACCCCCCCAGGAGGAGGAGGAGGAGGAGGACCTCGCAACAGACGCGTAGGAAGACGAAGACAAATCAGCAACACCCGCATGCAGACAGCACGACGGGCAACGGCGCACAGCACGCACGACATCGGAGGCCGCGCGTATCCTCCACTGGAGGGTGGAGGCATGGCGTAAGCCTACAGTCAATCAGTATAATAAGGATGCGCGATAAGCATGCAAGGGCCTTGGACGCTCATTTCGACGCTTTTCGAGCGGGGCGCGGCCAGCGAAAGCGGCGAAGGATAAACCGAGGAGGCAAGGATGCAAGGATACCCTTGGGAAGGCTGTCCATCCTTACTATGCGGGTTGACTGTACTGAATAAACAGCTTCTTCTGAAGCGCAGGCCAACGTCGGCAGCGCAGTGGTACCACCACTGTTCCACGCGGCAGCGACACGTACTTACAACAGACAAGGCATGCCGAGGATGATCATATTCTTGTCCATGCTCTCAAGAGGGGCCATGACCGTTGTTCTTGCGACTACGGCTGCTCAGCCGGTCAGCAGCTTTGCTTTCGGGCTGTACTTTGTGGTGCCGAGGCGACGTAAATATGCAAACCAATGGGAAGCTCGCGTGCGAACTGTGCTGCTGAGCGGCGGTGCCATCCTTGTCAAAGTACTGCGTACACGACCTGGATTTATATCTAGTGGCAACATCTGTACACCGATTAATAATTCGGCTCCTACACTCAATGCCCGCACTCTTCAGCCCAAGTGCCTTAAGCCAAACGGCTCATGGAAGCTGTTCTGATATGAAGAAAGATCTGAGCATGCGTGCCCCGAAGGTATGCTGGCACTCTGAACTCCACATGCGAGGGGACAGCAAGCGACCACAACCACATCGAGGACACACCCTCGGGGATGTCTTGCGTACGCCAGCACTCGCCAAACACCCGAATCGGCCAAGTACTAGTTGCGGTCGATGCGGGCGTCCAGGACGACCGAATCGACCATAACTGCAACCAACTTGTTCATGTCGAGATCAGTGGGTTCTCCCCCGAGGGACCCTCCAGACCAGTCCTCTCTGTCCTGGCTGCGGGTGGTTCTCCATTACACGCCGGTCGGAAGAAGTAGGTAAAAACATGGAGTAGGAAGGCGGATAAAGTGGATTGGGTCCAGGTCCTCCCCGAGAATAACAAAACACAGCAAAAGCGTGTCGATTCTTGAAATAGGAAGGCGCTTGAAGTAGATTGGGATCTGGGAATTCCAAAATACCTACTTTCAACGACCAGCGTGTACGCCCAGAGCATGGGCACTCCGGACATACACGGCACTCCAGAATTCCGAACAAGACGAGCAGCGGCAACTCCACATCCGCCATGCGAGGCCTTCACGATCGGGCCCACCATGCCAAAGTCCCACCGCCAGCTCTCCAGAACCATGGCCCGCGCTTCTGGCGAGCTCGGGTTCTAGCCCACCCCCACGCACGTGTGGGCACTCCGAGTCCAGTCGTGTCCTCGTCCATTTTCGAGCTGCATCGGGGCTGTCTTGCAGGCACCTCAGCCTCGAAGTTGACACGTGTACCGAAATCTCAGACTTTGTATGGGCAACTCGGCCTTGAAATTACATTCGGGGGATCTACTGACTCCGGTCAATCAAGACTCCGGTCAGTCAGGCCTTGCAAGACCCTGCAAGGTCCTGCAGGGTCCTGCAAGATCCTGCACCCAAACCCGGCTCCCCGGATGCAGGATGCTGGCGAGGCAGGATGGAGGCGAGGCAGCACAAGGTCCTGTGATCTTCCTCCGCCTCCTCCGCCTCATCCTCGACCTCCTCTACCCTCATCATCCTCCTCTTTCTTCTCCTTCTTCTTCTTCTTCCTCATGCTTGTCTCCTCCTTCTCCTTCTACATGTACGCGATGCGAGTCGCGCACGTGCGTGCCCTCCTCATGCCTCATACCCAGAGCCCCATACAGCATAAGCAAACCCGTAAATGGCTCCATCCTGGCTCACGTGCAAGCGCCTCAGCCACACATGAAGAAGAGAGGCTTCCGCCGTCGCCTTCCTCCTCCTCCTCCTCCTCCTCCAACTCCAACTCCTCCTCCTCCTCCCTCCTCCTCCTCCTCCTCCTCCTCCTCCTCCTCCTCCTCCTCGCTCCTCCTCCGCCTCCTCCTCCGCCTCCTCCTCTCTCCTCTCTTCTCCTCCTCCTCCTCCTCCTCCTCCTCCGCCTCCGCCTCCGCCTCCTCCTCCTCCTCCTCCTCCTCCTCCTGCTTCGTCCCCCACCTCCTCCGCCTCCGCCTCCGCCTCCTCCCAGGAGAGAGGAGGAGGAGGCAGAGGAGGCGGATGAGGAGGAGGAGGAGGAGGAGGAACGGAGGAGGAGGAGGAGGAGGAGGAGGAGGAGGAGGAGGAGGAGGAGGAGGAGGAGGAGGAGGAGGAGGCGGAGGGGCCCAGGGACACACAAATTAACATACACAAATCCCAGGATTCACAACATTTTCTCATATGTTTTGGATTTCCGTCTTCCCCCCCACTTCCGATATTTCCCAGAATCTTTTCCTGGCGATCTTCGATTTCTTGTGTCTGCGTTTTTGTTGCCCCCCCTCCTGAAGAAGGGTGGCAGGAGACGGCACGACTTCTGCTGCAGCACTTGTGGCCAGGGGCACGGCCCATCCTGCCATGCGGTGCGGGTGCAGAGCTCGGGACCGCAGCATCAAACACGCGGCGTCGCCATCGACGTTGCTCCTGGCGTCGCTGCTAGCTCCGTCGTCGGCGCCGTCGGCGTCGGGGTCACCAGGCCGCCCCCGGCGACGGGCGCATGCGCGGGCGCGCGCGGCCTGAGACGCTCGGCCTCTGCCGGGGACCTGGTGGCGCGGGTCCTGCCGGGCGCGGGCGGGGCGGGCCGCTCGTCGGGCACCGGGGGGCCTTGGCCGCCGTCGTCGTGGGCGTCAGCGTCGCCGCTGGCTTCGTCAGCGTCGGCGTCATCGTTCGTCGACCGTCGGTCGTTGTCGCCGTCGTCGCCGCAAGCGTGGCGGTCGTCCTCGTTCTCTGCGTCGTCGTCGGCCCGCGGTTCTGTCTGAAAGAACCTTGGCCAGCGCCTCGCAAGGATGGTAATGTGTGGAGCGCGGCAAGTAGCGCTTGGCAGATTCTGCCAAGCGTTTTGCCTAACCTGATGGCTGCAATTGCCTTCGGGCGTCGGTCGTCGGTCGTCGTCGTCGTCGTCGGTCGTCGGTCGTCGGTCGTCGGTCGTCGGTCGTCGGTCGTCGGTCGTCCGTCGTCGTCGTCGTCGTCGTCGTCGTCGTCGTCGTCGTCGTCGTCGTCGTCGTCGTCATCGTCCTCGTCGTCGTCGTCGTCGTCGTCGTCGTCGTCGCCACGGCCGCCTCCGACGTGGTCGTCGAACCCCCCTTCCTCCTCCGCCGTTTCGTTTTCTTTCCGACGCAATCTTCCTCGCCCACCTGACGCTGTCCCTGCCTGTCGGTGGGCCCGTTACCACCCCTGCTGCGATACCCTCCCCTCTCAATCATCCGCCCTCCACCCGTGCTGCTCCCCCGTGCCTCTCCATGCATTATCCGATCATGTTGTGGCACATTTGGAGCTTCGGGGCGTTTGTATCGCAGACGCAAAGCACAGATATCCTCCGACAGGCTGTTGTTGGAATACGTATACAGAAATCAAGCGAAACAAACATTGTCAAACAAGCACGGCTAATCGTCACATGACAATTGTTTTAGCATTGTTGAATATTCCTCCTGTGGAGGGGCACGCCCGCCTTAGTGATATTGGCTGGGAAATGGGACGCCGATCGCGGTGCCGGTTGGGCCCCCCCTTTTGGCGGAGCAATTTTAATGCAGGTTCTGATCATCGAGCGGGGTGTGCCGAAATGCCCCGAGGTCGCCATGCGAACCTTGCCACTGGCGCCTTCGCTGGAGCTCCTATGGGGCCACGATCCTCGTGAGGGGTGTGCCGAATTGGCCCGAGGCCGCCATGCGAACCCTGCCACTGGTGCCTTCGGCGGAGCTCCCTATGGGGCCACGATCCTCGTGAGGGGTGTGACGACATGGCCCGAGGCCGCCATGCGAACCTTGCCACTTGGGGCCTTCGGTGGAGCTCCCTATGGGGCCATATCCTCGTGACGGGGGTGCCGAAATGGCCCGAAGCCGCCATGCGAAACCTGCCACTTGTGGCCTTCGGTGGAGCTCCCTGTGGGGCCACGGTCCTCGTGAGAGGTGTGCCGAAATGGCCCGAGGCCGCCATGCGAACCCTGCCGCTGGGACCTTCGGTGGAGCTCCCTATGGGGCCACGATCCTCGTGAGGGGTGTGCCGAAATGGCACGAGGCCGCCACGCGAACCCTGCCACTGGGGGCCTTCGGTGAAGCTTCCTATGGGGCCACGATCCTTGTGAGGGGTGTGCCGAAATGGCCCGAGGCCGCCATGCGAACCCTGCCACTGGCGCCTTCGGTGAAGCTCCCTATGTGGCCACAGTCCTTCGGTGGAGCTCCCTATGGGGCCACGATCCTCGTGAGGGGTGTGCCGAAATGACCCGAGGCCGCCATGCGAACCCTGCCGCTGGGACCTTCGGTGAAGCTCCCTATGGGGCCACGATCCTCGTGAGGGGTGTGCCGAAATGGCCCGAGGCCGCCATGCGAACCCTGCCACTGGGGGCCTTCGGTGGAGCTTCCTGAGAGGTATGCCGAAATGGCCCGAGGCCGCCATGCGAACCCTGCCAGTGGGGCCTTCGGTGGAGCTCCCTATGGAGCCACGAAACGCTGTACTGGGTGGGTGAAACGCAGGGGGGAGGGAGGAGGAGGAGAGGAGGAGAGGAGAGGAGGAGGAGGAGGAGGAGGAGGAGGAGGAGGAGGAGGAGGAGGAGGAGGAGGAGAAGGAGGAGGAGGAGGAGGAGGAGGAGGAACGCGGGGCACCGTATCTTCAAAACGAGGACCCAGCACCACAAGATGGTTGGGAAACACATGAACAAACTCGGAGTTCCGCGCGGAATCCCACCAGCCCTCTGGGCGTCGGTGGTTTAGGGCGTTTCCTCTTCCACCCCTCCCTCTTTCCCTTCGGGGAGGGGTTTACCCCTCCCCCTACCCCCTCCCCACTGACCTGGACAAGAGGGGCCGCGAGCGGTCAGAGCGTCCAAAACGGCCTCGGCGAGGAAGCCAAAAACATTGATTGTACTATGGTTTGGGCACCAGTTTGGCCTTCTGAGGGGGCAGCGCTAATGAAAGCTCCCCTCTTCTTTGATCGATTTCCTCCACGATGGCCGCAAGAGGCCCCCAGGATGCCCCAAGAGGCCGCAGGATGGCCCCAAGATGGCCCCAAGAGGCCCCCCAAGAGGCCCCCAGAAGGCCCCCAAGAGACCTCCAAGAGGCCCCAAGAGACCCCCCAGAGGCACCCAAGGTGCTCCCAGAGGCCTCGGCGATAATGTCAAACCATTGTTTGCACTACGGTTTTAGCAGCATGTTGGCCTCTTGGGGGGGGGGTGCATTGATTAAGATGGCTCCAAGAGCGCCTCGGAGAGCCCAAAATGACCTCCAAGATGGCTCAAGAAATCCCAAGATGTCTCATACTGGCTTCCTCTGTGTGCTGTCCACTTCCCTGATCGAGGCAATCCCACCAGCCCTCTGGGCGTCGGTGGTTTAAGGCGTTTCCTCGTCCACCCCTCCCTCTTTCCCTTCGGGGAGGGGTTTACCCCTCCCCCTACCCCCTTGGACGGGGGGGCCGCGAGCGGTCAGAGCGTCCAAAACGGCCTCGGCGAGGAAGCCAACATCATTGAGTTTACTAAGATTTTGGCCCCATGTTGGCCTCCTGAGGGGGCAAAGATGGCCCCAAGGAGCGCCCAGGAGGCCCCAAGATGGCCCCAAGAGGCCCCAAGAGGCCCCCAGGAGGCCCCAAAGAGGATCCCGAACGGCCCACAGAGGCCCCCCCGAGGCACCCAAGACGCCGAACAGCCCCTCAGGACGACCCTCTACTCGCCTGGGCGTCGTTTCTGGACGGGCTGGTGGGGATACGCGAAGCGTCTAGAATTCTTGAACCCGCGCTGGAGAGCTCTCGCGCCAGAGGCGGCGCCAGAGGCGCCGCCAGGGGGCCCCAACGCCGATCCGAGAAGTCCGCGCGGACCTCCGACTTGTTATGTGTATGGCATTGTTCGTTCTCCTAGATACTGGCGAAATCCTTGCATCATAGTGCTTCGACGGTGCGGCCTAATTGCCTTAACTTGGCCGACATCCAGAGGAGGCAGCAGCAACAAGCTGGGCTTCCTCAGCTGCAGTGTCCTGGGCGGAAAACCGCGGGCCACGCCCAGAGACCGCGCGTTGTGACGGGGAAGAAGCCCCTGCGGATAGTCGACATGCTGATGATTGCGGTTGCGCTTTGTGCATGCGACGGGTGATGACGATGGTGATGATGGTGACGATGGCGATGGTGATGGCGACGACGACGACGACGATGATGATGATGATGATGATGATGATGGTGATGATGCTGATGCTGATGCTGACGATGCCGATGCCGATGAGGATGATGCGGATGACGATGAGACCATCAATGATGATGATGCTGATGATGGTGACGATGATGATGCTGAAGATGAAGATGAAGATATGATGATGAGGAGGATGAGGATGAGGATGAGGATGATGATGATGGTGTTGGCGATGATGATGATGATGATGATGATGATGATGCAGTTGAACATGATGATGATGATGCTGATGAACATGATGATGATAATCATGGTGATGCTGCTGATGATGCTGATGATGATGGTGGTGGTGATGATGATGCTGATGATGGCGGCGGCGATTGTGGATGCGACGGTGGTGATACGTGATGGTCGTGAGACTGGTTCCGTGAGGCCTCAGCAGGCCGCCGGGAGGCGATTCTGGTGGACTTCCAATCTTCTACCGCTGCGTTGAAACAGCGACGGACGTGCGTCCCGGGCGACTTCGCTTCCCCAGGCTGACGGGAGGGGGCTGCGCCGCTGGCTCTGGTTCTGGGCAGGCGGTGCTCTCCGGCGGAGGGGGAGGAGGAGGAGGAGGAGGAGGAGGAGGAGGAGGAGGAGGAGGAGGAGGAGGAGGAGGAGGAGGAGGAAAAGGCGGGGAGGATAAGGAGGAGGAGGAGGAGAGGAGGAGGAGGAGGAGGGGAGGAGGAGGAAGGAGGAGGAGGAGGAGGAGGAGGGGGGGGAGGGAGGAGGAGGAGGAGGAGGGGAGAGAAGGAGGAGGAGGAGGAGGAGGAGGAGGAGAGGAGGAGGAGGAGGAAAAGGCGAGGGAGGATAAGGAGGAGGAGGAGGAAGGAGAGGAGGAGGAGGAGGAGGAGGAGGAGGAGGGGGAGAAGGGGGGGGGGGGGAGAGGAGGAGGGGGAGAAGGAGAAGGAGGGGGAGGAGGAGGAGGAGAAGGAGGAGGAGGAGAGGAGGAGAGGAGGGAGGAGGGAGGGAGGAGGAGGGAGGGGGGAGGAGGAGGAGGGAAGAGGAGGAGGAGGAGGAGGAGGGAAAATGAGGAGGAGGAGGAGGAGGAGGAGGAGGAGGAGGAGGAGGAGGAGAGGAGGAGGGAGGAGAGGGGGGGAGGGGGAGGGAGGGAGGGACGGAGGGGGAGGGAGGAAGCGAGGGAAAAGCGGGCAGACGGCGACGAGCGCACCTACTTGGCGCACCGCGCCCCGCGAGAGGCAAAACGCGCGCGCTCCCTCTGCGTGCCCTCGCGCCCTCTCGCCGCCCGGTTGGAGGAGGGGCCGCCTCTCTGGCCCAGACCGCGACGCGCAGGGCAAGGCCATCCTCGCGCCCCCCACGGGTGATCCAGGGCACGAGAATGTGGAGGCATATTGATGGGCCTGTCTTCCACCACTACCACCACAAGTAGGGGGATGAGGAGGAGGAGGAGCAGGAGGAGGAGGAGAAGGAGGAGGTGGAGGAGGAGTAGGAGGAGGAAGACCCCCTCCCCCATCCAACTTATGGTGGTGGTGGTGGTGGAAGACAAGCTCATCACATATGGCAGCTGAGAGTGATGGCGATGGCGGTCCTCCTGCCGACGGTCACGGGGACGGTGGCGACGATGACGATGGGAACCATGCTTTTCACGACGATGGTTACGATGATGATGATGATGATGATGATGATGATGATGATGATGCTGATGATGCTGATGATGCTGATGATGATGATGCTGATGCTGATGCTGATGCTGATGCTGATGCTGATGATGATGATGATGATGATGATGATGATGATGATGATGATGATGATGATGATGATGTTGGCGAGGATGATGGCGATGCCCGGTTGTGACTGCGGTTGCGGCCGCAGGCGCCCGCGGCCCAGGCTTTGTCGCCGGGCTGCGGTGGTGCAGGCGCCCGCGGGCTGCCAGAGACGTGTCCCCCGTGCTGCCGGGTGGCCTGAACCAATGGACCTGGCGGGAGCGGAGGTCTCCCACGGCGCCGCCCGCTGGGAAAAAGCCCTCTTGGGATCGGTCTGCTGCCCGTTCGAATCGACGCTCGCCCCACGCGCACTGTGGGTCGGACACGGTGGGTGCAGACACGTCCAACCAGGCCTGCTTGGCCGCAGGCTCGCGCATCGGAGGTGGGAGGGTGGTGAACGCGAGGACGAAGACGGGGAGATACCTGTAGCATGCGCTCCCTGTAATATCACCAACTGTCCCTGGTGGTACTTCCCCAGCCTCACCACTTCCCTGCGTTGCAGCCCGTGAAGCGCTAAGAAAAAAAACTCGATCCTCGATGTCATCCTCTGGGCTTCTGCTCTCTATCTCTCTCGCGCTCTCTCTTCTTCTTTTCTCTCTCTCTCTCTCTCTCTCTCTTCGCCGAACGCGGCTTGGGCAGGCCGCGCTGGGGCTCCTCACGACGACGCCGTTGATGGAGCACCTGGCGCGGGGACCAACTGTGCGACGATGTGTTTTGGGGACGCCACAAAGGTCCCAATACCGCTACTCCCCGGATCTCTCCCGGGGTGCGTCCTGATCCGAATTCCGAGGCGAATCCAGCGGTGGCGACGGGGGCATCCGAGGCGGTCCCGAAGGGGAAAACGGGCGGAGGGGTAGCGGTATGGGTACCTTTTCCTCCTCTGAGTTTTTTGTGCTCGGCGGCGCCACCACAATCATAGACAGCACCAGCCAGCGAACGGACAATACCTCCAGCGGGGCTGACTCGCGCCTCCTCCTCCTCCTCCTCCTCCTCCTCCTCCTCCTCCTCCTCCTCCTCCTCCTCCCACTCCTCCTCCTAGGTGGCGTTGTGGCGAGATCCCGCGCGCGCTGCAGCATTTTGCCACGCGTTGCGCGCGGCCCGCGGTCGATCGGAGCCCCCAGCCCCGACGGGGCGCTCGAGCGAGAGTCCGCACAGAGCGCGCTCGCACTCGCCTGCCTGGCACAGACGCCTGAGGCACAGTTGCTGAGGCCGCGCCACGGGCTGTACAGGTCTCAGAGCAGACTGTCGGACACCGAGGGAGGCCCCC